GTGACCGAAAGTTCAACTAGTCAAATCTATTCTACGGAAGTCGTCACTGGCATTGAAACAACGAGTATAGGAACATCGGAAATACCGACAGAATCGTCTACTGAACCAGAAACTGTCACCGTTAGCGAAGGACCAACTAGTCCTATCACTGAAACCGAAACAATGATAACATCGTTTATGACAAGTCAATCAACTTCTGAATCACAGACAGTGACTGTAACGGAAAGTTCAACTAGCCAAATCTATTCTACGGAAGTCGTCACTGGTATTGAAACAATGAGTATAGGAACATCGGAAATACCAACCGAATCGTCTACTGAACCAGAAACTGTCACCATCAGTGAAGGGCCAGCTAGTCAAACTTCTTCAACGGCAACTAGTCCTGTCACTGAAACAGAAACAATGATAACATCGCTTATGACAAGTCAATCAACTTCTGAATCACAGACAGTGACTGTAACGGAGACTTCAACTAGCCAAATTCCTTCTGCTGAACCGGTTGCTACAACTGAAACAGAAACAATGGTAACATCAGAAAGTGCAACTGAATCGACGACAGAATCACAAACTATCACAGCAACTGAAGGATCTAGTGGTCAAGCCTCTTCAACAGAAACAATTGTTGGTACTGAAACGACAGCTGGAACAACATTGGAAGCGGTGACTGGGTCGACGACTGAATTCCAAACAGCAACTGTGACCCAAGTGTCTACTGTTGCAGTATCTTCAAGTGAAGCAGCTACTGGAACTGAAGCAGAAAGTATGGGAACATCTGAAGCGGTATCTGAATCTACTAGTGTATCACAAACAGCCACGATGACTGAAGCATCTACAAGGCAATTATACTCACTAGAAACAGTTCAAGAACAATCGACAACGTCAGGTATAGATTAGTGATTTTGTTTTGGTGCACATTTTAATGTAGCTAAGTTTTCGTTTCACATATGTTTTGAAGATTTTCTTTTAGACATCATTGTGGGAGGTAATAATATTTTTGTTTTTTAGCAGAAACGGAAGCGTTCAGCCTAACAGAAACATCGACAACTGTCTCATTATTTCCAAGCTCTACTGCAACATCATTGGTAACAGAAACTGTTCCAAGTGCTTCTGAAAGTACTACTGAAATGTTATCAATTGAAACAACATCTGTTTCTGCTGCAAATACTTCGCAAATAACCACTCAAGTACCGACAGAAATGGAGACAACAGCGACTTCAATTGAGACAAGTAATTTTTCAAGATAAACTATCGATATTAGCTTTCTTCCAGAAAGTATCCTAGGACATACATAGATTTTTTCTGAGTTGATAGTATCATAGACGTTGTACTGGAAAGATAATTTTTTTTTCTTTAGCAACTATTTCCGAAACAGAATTCAATGCCACTTCAACTACAACTACCGAAGGAACGGAAACAATGTCAATGTCTGAATCGCAATCGACAATAACTACAGAAACATCGACTGTAATTTCATCAAGTGTAGTCACTCAACCGTCAGTAGAAACTTCCCAAATCATTACAGAGTCGTCTACTGCGACTGTTGCAGCCGTTACCGAAAGTATTCCTCCAATGGAAACTACTGAAACTTCTGGAATATATACAGTGTCTGAATCTGAGAACACTTCATCATCATTAACGTCATCTACGATGAGTACTACTGAGACTAGCAGTTCGACTACTCTTTCAAATGAGCTATCAACTGAAACTATGTCTACATCCGAATCAAGTTCGTCATCATCGATTACATCAACCTCTGAAAGTTCTACTCAAGCGTTGGAAAGTACTGAAGGCACAGGCTTTTCCACAGTAACTCAATCAGAAATCTCATCATCGGCAACAACAACTGAAACCGGTACTACCAGTCAGTCATCATCTACATCTACTTCTGTTGGTATAAACAATGAAACATCATTCACCGCACAAATCGAAACTAGCACTTCTACTGAATCTACGGTTACAACAAGCTCCACTGAAATAACAACTCAAAGTTTTCAAAACGGTACATTATTTTTTCTTTATTTTAACTATATGACGGGCAGGTCACGGATGCGTCGACAGATTTTTATTGGCTCACCACCATCATCTACTATCGAAAATGAAGTATGATAATCGATTTATAATAATTGTAAGCTGATATTTATATGATTGATAATTTTTTTTAGGTAGCTTTAATTCTGTCTGGAATGAACATAACTTGTAATGACACGTGTATACAAGTGAGCCAAACTAGGTAAATTTTCTTTAATTCCAAAAAAGAAAACATTCTTTATGATTATCTTGTCATTAAATATTACAGTGTTGCACTTCCTGATGTTGAATATTCAGTTACGTTAAATGTATTTCTCGATATTCCGCAACGTATAGAACTTGTGAATGGTTTCTTTACGAATAATGTTAGTTTAAATGATAGTTATCGCTTGACTGTAAGAATAATTATGAACTCAGCAACGACAGATTTTCGTAAGTACTCTTCTTCAAAAATCATGAAAGGTTGATAAATGTAACCTTTTTTTGTTCTTATAGTAAATTTCACAACAGTCACACCAGCATGTAAAGAATGTGAATATGCTTTCACAGGTAATTGTACTGGCGACAATACTGGATGTGTATGCTATCCAAATTATGCGGGTCAATACTGTCGAAATTTTGTTCAATCAACTACAATTTATTTGCCAACATCCATCACTCCTTTAACACTATCAAGTGTTTCCAGTACTACTACAATAAGCACGGTACAAACTAGTGAAAGTCTAACACAAATTTCAATTACATTAACAGAATCGACTGTAACTGAAAGTCAACTTTCTACCAATTATTCAACATTTGCTCCCGTCACTATAGTTAGTGAAACAAGTGGAACTGGAACATCGTCGATAGTTACAACAAGTCTACTAACTGAAAATGTACAATCTTCACAAGGAACTTCAGAAAGTATGACATCAGCAACATTTTCAAGTACGAGTTCAACAGTAAACAACACATTATTCTCAAGCACAATTGCACAATCCATAACACAGGGACAAACCACTGAAGCAACAACAACAATATCAACTGCGACCGCAGAAATAGGAAGCTCAACTGTCTCGATCACAATGAGCATAACAGCAGCAACAGGAACATATGGAAACACAACATTAACCATGACTACAGCAACTACTAGTACAAGAATCACATCAGCGACAGCTATTACAACAGCAATGGAGACAGTTGAAAGTACAACATCAACACAAACACCATCTACACCAAGTTCAATATCTACTCCCCTAGCCTCATCAACAGCACAAACACAAACAGGCCAAACTACCATAACTTTTAGTTCAAGCAC